CTAGGAAAACAAGTCACAGAGTCTTGTATGCAATAAAAGCACTCTGAAAATCAGCAGTGGAAAAATGCCAACGAAAGGCTCTGCCTGAGTACCTGCCAAGCTAGCCAGGGTTATCTACAGCTGAATATTCTGCTAGAACACAATAGGATATAAAGTTAAAACTAACTAGCCATACCCTGTATAACTTCCCCTGTAGCTGACTTTGACATTTGAAGGACTGAGCAGTTTCGTACCTTTTAAAGAGTACCTGACTGGCATTTCTGAAGTTTCTACACTGACATTTTCTGTGAAGGAAGGAAACTAGTGACACTAAAAGGCTTTGAAGTGCAGGAGGCAGAAAGGCTCCAACAGGCAGAACAGATAGACACAAGCTAATTTTAGTGCTCTCACCGCCATTGTCACAAAATCAGTGAATTTTATTTCAACTTGCTGCATTAAAACAGGTCCAGACGCAGCAATGGCAATGACATAGCTGAGTGTCTTAAAAACGCCTCATTTCTGGTATTTCAGACTTTACAGAATTACACTGCACGTGTGTAGAGAGCTCTGAGAGAGCAATTGCTGATAGCATGGGATCTAATTGATCTTTCATTAGATCACTAGGAAACGTGCCCCATTGCACACACCAATTTCTTCCAAGCATGAAGCCCATATTCAGTTGTTTGGTGTATTTTCTTAAATAGATGATGAAGGGCCAGCTGTACTTCCAAAGCAAGACATTAGCTTAACTCCATGCTCAAGCTGCTCCTAAGGTTCCAAAAAGTGACAGTGTCTGAGCTTAACAAAACCTTCTTCTCACTAAGCTCTCGATCTCCTCGTGCTCTTAGCCAAGTCCATTATAGCAGTTTGAGCCAAATTAAATAGTGGAAAACTTCAATGCAGTAAGCTAAGGGCATAATTACTGGAAATACTGGTTAACTGGAAAGCATCTCTTTGTAGATGCCTTGTGCAAGAGTCATCACAATAATTGCAGTACTTTGGCAAAAGCAAAACAAGGAGCAGGGAGTTTTACTAGAATACACTGGCTGTTTTACAGCTTTGCGGTGACAGCAGTGATTGTCTTCTCCTGCTGAGTTATTACCTTCAGAAGTCTACTTGGCAATGATCCCAGTACAGCTGTAGAAGGGCTACTTTAGTGATAAACACCACAAGGCCTACCAAAAAAGAAAGGATTTCATTAACCTAATCAACAGAGTTGGAGAAAAGAGAGAGGAAAAAAAAAAAAAAGCCCCAAAAGTCATCAACAAGCTTTCAGGCTCTTACATGCTACAAACCTGAGGCAGAATTTCCGGACCTGAAAGAAAATGTGTCTCTCCCCCGTGCCTCCCACCCAAACCCACATCGCTTTGCTGTGGTGACAGCGTGGATTCAGTTACATCACAGTGATGGCAAATCTCCTCCTTTCACCACGATTCAACATCATCCAACCAGAGGGATTTTAATCTGGTTTTGCATTTGGGTTTTAAGTGCTACCTAGAAGCTACCTTTCTCCAGCTGGCAATGCAACAACCCGTGGGGCTTGTTACCATAAAACGTTGGGTTTTTTTTGGCAAATATTGAGTGAAACTGCAGTATTTGGGAGCCGTCTTGATGAACCTCCAACAACCCTGGCAGATCTGCTCCTCCCAGCCCCACCATGCCTGTTCCTGTCCCTGCAGAGCTGAGATGAGATGAAGGGAGAGAGGTCTCTGCAGCGCCCTGACCACTCCAGGCTTTCCACTCACCTGCCTCCCACTCTCGCTCGGGTGAGGGGAAAACCCCCCAAAACTGAAAATTTCTTTTTTTTTTTTTTTAAACGAAAAAATAAATCAGTCTTTCCCTTCCAGGGGAAATTCTGAATATTTGAGGTTCCAGTTCAGAACTCAGCTTATTACATACTTTCCGGTGAATGGAAATATCCAATCTGAATAGTTCTGCCCAGTGAGCGTTGAAACACCATGGTTACAATTCTGTTTATTCATCTATCAACTCCTTTAAAGCTACCCAACTATGTAATGGCATTCCTTAATGCAAATAAATTAAAATTCACAGGTAAAAAAAAAAAAGAAGTGCTTAGTTTTCCTAGCATGCCAAACACAGAAAACTTAAATGAGTTAACGTATTAAAATAGGAAAAGGTCGCTTATGGGGAGTGATTAAAATCATGACTGCCACAAAAACCGTAGAATTGGAAAAGAAAAATCCAAATGGACTTGCTTTTTAACCTCACAGTTTATGCCTTCATTTTGAACCTTCTGCTCACTGACCTGAAGGGAACAAAGGATGCTTTCTCCCAATCTTACAAAGAAGCCCCTGCTAAATGTGTTTATTTGGCACTTGAACACATTCGGGTCTAAGCAACTAGTTAATGGCTTTCATCGGTATAGCAACATGGCATTTTCAACCACCTCAGCAGCCAACAAAGACATAAAATATTGGAGCTAGGTTTGATGGGGCTGCAGCAATCTCCAGTTTGAGAACTTACTGTCTACAGCATGATAGAATCATAGAATTGTCTAGGTTGGAAGGGACCTTTAAGATCATCTAGTCCAACCATCACCCTAACTCTGATAAAAACCATCACTAAACCATGTCTCTAAGCTCTATGTCTACCTGTCTTTTGAATGGGCACCTCCAGGGATGGTGCCTCAACCACTGCCCTGGGCAGCCCATTCCAATACTGAATAACCCTTTCAGAGTAAAAATTTTTCCTGATATCCAACCTGAACCTCTCCTCGTGATGAGAACAGGAGCATGGCACTGGGCACACAAAGGGTAAGAGCACTCGTCTCGCACCCAGCTCCATCTCCATTTCACTACCTCAGCCCAAAACTGGCACTGATTGCCTGGGTCGAGTTCACTTTTGACAGGGAAGAGGGCAAAGCAACACTCGGTTTTTCTTCTCTGGGTTCTGCCACAACTCAAACAAGGTTTCTCATAAAACCACTGCCACCTCTTCTGTCTCAGTTTAGCTTCTCAACCCAAGAATGAAATGCCATCCAGTTATATTGAAAAACGTTCAAACGTATTTATTCAGTCTTTAAACAAACTTACAGATCAAGTAAATGCAATGAAGAACAAACAAACGATAGCAAAACTTGGAAAATTTCAAGCTAAAACCCCCCCCAACCATAAAAAAGACACTCAAAATATACTCAGACGCTTACTTTACATGACAAAACACAGGCTCAATAAATCCATCCATTTGGACGTGTGTCAATTACTGTTATTCAGGAAACAAAGAATTACCCCAAAACATTTCCATATAGTGATCTAAACTGTCCTCTACATTTAAGTCTTCTTTTTGGCCTAACACCTTCCATCTGTTTGTCCCACTCCTTTGGTTTTACGATTGTTTTGTTTGCTTGCTTTTCAAACAAATAAGCTTTGGTTTTAGCATAAACACCAAAACAAAAGTCATAAGAATTTAGGGTAAAGTACTGAGGATCGTCTTCCCAGGTTGCTGTACTGGAAGCCACAATACGTGATATTACACTGAATATTATGTTGAAATCATACATTTCTATTTCTCTAGTGGTGTACGATGAGCAACATTGTAGATGAGGTAGATTTGAGAAATATTTATATCACTGTCATGACATAAATGTTGCAGGGGAGCGGGGATGAAGTTGGCACAGGAGTTTAATTACCCTTTTCCCCATGCTAGTCCTTTACCTCTGGAATATCAGGTAGTGCTGCCAGCTGACTTGGTATAACCTGAGTTCTGTTTTATCTCACTGAAATCCCTGAGGCTTTATTCTTCTTTTGTCTCATGAACCAATTTTTATTATGGGTTTTTTTTTTTTAACCTGATTTTAAGTGAAAGATTTAAGCTAATACGGGGTCTGCTAGTTCTGCTACATTTCTCCTTCCCTTTCTACCACCAGTAATGAGAGGTAGATAAGAGATGTGAAGAAAACTCTGTATTTGAGAGGCTCAGTGGGGACTTGAGGAAGAATGGGATTTATTGAGGGGGAGGGGATACATAACAGGGTAAAGGATGTAAATTTGTAGCTAAAAAGCAAGCGCTCCCACTTCTACTCCTCACAGAACAGTATCTTCTAGAAAATGTAGCATTTCGTTGACGGAACAGAGTCTGAGGACAGGGCTGAACTTTAAGAAGGTTAGTGGCTATAGAGTTTGCTCCTAGCAAACTTTTGAGGAGATCTCTTCTCAGTCTGCCAAGACTGACTACATCAAGGATGAACATGTCTCCACGTAGCTGGGAGGAGCAAGAAGTCCCTGAACACTAACCACAACCAGCTTGCATGCATCCCCGTTACACTACTTTCTGCCTCCAGCACGATCAAGCTGCTGCTGTTTACACCCTTGTGCGTGAACAGATCAAGTAATTATTTATCCAAAAAAAAAAAAAAAAAAGAATTTAAAAAATGAAAACTCAAATCAGCACCTTGCTTTTTACATTGCTAAGCTCGTAGAGGGGAAGCTCAAATCACAGCCCATCACTGTAGAAGGAATAAGCTTTTCCCTTAGAAAGCAGGCCAAGGTTGTCATGCCCTCCTCCCCCAAATCCATCAGCTCAGCAGTATGGATGGGTCTTGAAGCCTTTGAATTTATTTGGTTTCAGTGGCTTAGCACTTGCTAATCGATTTGACCACAGCTCCTTAGACTCATGCATCCATCCCGGTGACTTTGCTGGACAGACTCAGGATGACTCAGCTTCCAAAAATCAAGGTGGTTTCAGGCCAATATGGCCAAAAGTAGCATCACAGTTTGGTGAGATTCAATACAGTTATCTGCCACTGCACAACACAGGTAAAAAAAAAATAATAATCTATTTATCATTTTAAACAAAGTACAATTAATGCAAGGCATCTGAGAAGAGGCACTTGAAAGGATAAAAACCTAAGCCTTTTCTATCACTAGTCTGAATACCAGCTGGGATGCTGAAAGGCTTTTCATACACATTTTTTAAAAAAAACAAACAACCCTCTTTTATGGGGTTTAGCCAGGCCACAGGTGACACACATCAAACAGAAGCATAAGAAGGTCATATGGGGTTTAACCAGGCCACAGGTGACACACACATCAAACAGAAGCATAAGAAGGTCAGTCCATCAATGCCCTCTGAAAAGCACCCTGCCCCAGAGCAAACACAAGAGGCCACCCTCGAAGGTCCATGCTCTGGCAGTAGCTCCACGTAGCGTCAATAACGGCCCATCTACTGTAAATGAGCCTCCTCTCACCTGCTGCAAAATCCAGCCAAATGCTTCAGAGAAGTCCCAGTGCTTGCTCCAAAAAAACCCATTTAACGGTCTAAGGTGAGGCACAAACACAAGTAATAGGGCAGAGCTGGCTGGAGCCAGGACGAGAGATGCTGCAGTGCAGTCAGAGGAGAGGTATCTACACGCTCCTCTTGAATGATCCAAGATGAGTATTTCTAGCAGAGATGGAGGAATGACCACTGCTAGTGAAGTATCTTCTGAGCATCACAGAAGTAAGGCTCAGAAGGGACTCAGTCAGGTCAGAGTTGGTGACTGTCTTGCAGGCCTCTTCACATCTACACGGTACAGGAGCAGGAATGAAAGTGTCCTCATCTTTTGACTGGTAAAGCAGAGTTTATGGGGTTTCTTTCTCAGGATTAGCACAGACTGGAGTTTCCGTTAAAATTAGAGAATTAATTTCTTCTTCCTTAGCTAACCTGTCGTAAGCGTTCATAGAGTCATCCTTTGCACAGTTCTGAAAGAGAAGAACAACATTTTTAGCGGTGCTTCTTCACGGCAAGCATTGCTTCTTCAGCCCAATAAGACAGATCCATTTCACAACATAAAGCCTGTATTATGGTGAAAAAACCAAGGTAGCTGGGCAACAAATTGTGCTTATTAGGGCCAGAGTTAGGCTTGGTTGACAGAATAGTCGTCCTCTCTGGAGACAAAGAAGAACTGAAGGTTGGCCCCCATCTTAAGAGTGCTTCCAACTAGAGCTAATGGGTGAAGCTCAGGCAGGAGGATGGAGAAGTGAGGATATACACAGTAGAGTTTTCATTGAGAACCTGAGTGCACGGAGAAGATCAGGATAATACCCAGAGGCAAGAACGTAGCATTACTAAGGGGAGGAACAAAGCACAGGTCAAAGCACACCAAAGTCTAACAGCTACCATACTTATGATCCTCACGGCCAAGAGTCCCATCTTAGTCCCATAATAACCAATACATGCTGAAATATATACCATAAGGTAGTAAACTAAGAGGCCAGATCCATGCTTTCCACATAGTTCTGGTTTATTAGGTAAACTCAGAAAACTCCTGTGGAAAAAGGGAACTTAGATGAACTCAGAAAACTCCTGTGGAAAAAGGGAACACTGGATTTTGGACTCCTTTTGCAATTGCTAAGTCACAAAAGGAGACTTCTTTTCAAGAAGTCAGCAATTCCTGCAACTCCTGTTCCACTGAGAACATCCAACACATATGCAGCACCAGACATCCAGATAATCATCATCCTCTCCAAATGTTTCACAAGTGGCATCAATTTTGAGATGCCACAGAGAGTCAGAAGGTCCCTTCCATACAAGGACTGTGTTCAGGGAACACCACACATTGCCTTGGGTGCAGGTTTCAATTAGGGCTCCTCAGTGTACTTCCCTTTGGACTTTTATAAAGAGCTGGTGAGTTGGATTTGTTTAGAAATAACAGTTTCCATAAATCAGTATTATGTTTATTTTTCCTGCAATAAGGGCCCATAGCAAGTCTTTCATCAACCAAAGTGTGAAGCAGCTCTAGTTAGCTTCTTGTTGGCAAAAGAACAAAACTAAGTGTCCTGTTTTACTTCATAGCTAACTGACTGTGATAAATGTGGAAGTGCTAATAATATTAATTGCTGGAAGTCAAACATGAATAGCTTTTTCAGCATCGTAAATATGAGCAACTAGCAGAGGAAGACCTGGATGTTCAGGAGAAGTAGTTTAATGAAGCTGAAAACAAAACAAAAACAAAAACCCACCCAACAACCAAAAAACCCCGACCCAAAAACCCCAACCCCTAAACCAACCCAAAAAACATTTAAAAGGACTAGCAGTCTGTGAAATAACAGAATAATGCAATTCTACTAATATGCCTACAAAAGTATATGCAATTTGAGGAAAAAGAAAAAGCCCTCTCAGGTTTAGGTAATTGTTTCTGAACAACTCTTACTATTGTAACTACTTAATCTTCATACGACATACTTATATATAGTTGGTTTTAAGACAGACATAGATATTAGGAAAAAGAAAATTGGAAGCCTATAGATTCCGATTCAATGGATTCGTTGTCCCAAAAGCTTCTCACTAACCTGGGAGTCCTCATTCTGCTCTCCAAACATGCGCTTCAGAATTTCTCTAGGGTCTGGAATCGGCGGAAGAATTAATATCTTCAGCCTTCAGAAAATTAAAAAGAAAAGTTTTAGATGAAAGATTTATTTATTTAAAAATCACCATTTCAATGTCATACTTGGGTGTGGTTGAGAAAATTTGCTTTGACATTACTGGCCAGCTTTCATTATCTGCAACTGTAGCCCAATTCTCACTTTTTACTCCCCAAACCACAAGCAAATGGGAACATTCACACAGACATGCTAAATAACTCTCAGCATTGGCAAAGACAGCAACAAAAGGAGACTTTTAAAAAAAAATATTGTAAAATAAACTACGTAAGCTTAATTTTGAGTTTGGACTTCATTGCCTAAGGAGAGAGGGGATGCAATAGCTGTGCAACAAGAACCTGTAAGCGGACATAAGGAACGTTACCCAAGTGCAACCAGAGTGTGTCTGTGGTCTATAAACCTAATTCTAATGACTGAGGCAGGATGGTGCTGCCACTTTTGTTATACAAAGTGTGTTACGGATAAAGCAGCTGCTATTGAAACATGCCCCATCATGGATGATTGCCTGGAAGAGACATGAATTATACCGCAAGTCAAAGATCAATCAGAATTAGCGGGTTGTAAACACGTCATTTACCTTTTCAGATAAACTAGCAGAATTATCGTAGATACTGCTACTATTAATGGAATGGTGATGATTAAAACCAAATAGAAGGTAGAGTCCGTCTTCTCACCTGAAAAATTGCAGAAACGTGGGGATGTTTTGAGAGGCTTTTTAGGAATAATGACGACAAGTTAATTAATTCTCTAATTTGTTCACAGACAGAATGTTTTTCAAATACACTAGCACGTTTGTAGGCAAGGGCTCATTTTTTCAAAGCATGATATTATAACGTAGATACATTTGGCAAGAAAACTACCACCAGGAAGGCTCAGGGCTGAAGAACTGACAGCCCTGGAAAGGTGGTGTTATTGCACAGTGGTGAGCAGTGGTGACCCCACCAGCATGTACAGCAGTGCAGGCAGTCACTGATGGCACTGCTGAAAGACTAGAGCTCCCTTGCCCTCTTTTCACCTGAAATTACATAGATACATAGGGAGATAATCTTCAAGTCCCATTTGCTTAGCAGACAGAAGGTCTTAGCTTATAGATGAAGAATAAAGTGCAACAAATTGCAGGCACAATCATTCTCACCAATACTCTGCTCTTCACTCCAGTCACTGAAGAGCTTGCTGCTGTAACACTCAGGCTTTGGGTTTGCTCTCACTTTGAAGGTGTATTTGCTGTTAGGATCAACGCTAGGAATTGTCATGTAATTATTTTCAACCTAAGGTAAAAAGAAAAGGTAACTTGCTTTATTCAATTACCAGCACGTTCTCAGTCATTTACCAGCCCCTTTTCGTTGTGCAGTCAATGCATTCTGAATATTTGGATGGAAGATCTTTTTGTAAATACTAAGTTTCCTAAAAAAGGACACAGTAGCATTTAACAGGCAAAGACTGCCTAAAAAGAGATTCCAAGGCAAAGACTTAATCTTATTCACTGCTACATCTATCACACAGCACTTGGCATCAATGATTAAACTCAGACTCAGTGTCTGGAACAGTGCCTTTTTTTTTTTTTTTTTTTTTGCTGCCTTCCCCTCTCTCTGGCAGGGCAGCAACACTGATCCAACACTGACCACACAACAGTCTGCTGTGATGCCTCTACAGAGGCATGCAGCTACAACTGGCTGGAATCAAAACTTCTAATATTATTGATTCAAAATGCCAGTTTTCTGAGGTATGCTGACATTATCTGAGTTTGCTAAATTTGAGGTAGGACAAACAGCTAACTGTGCCCCACAGGAAAAGACCACCTTCTTACTTTTAAATTTCTCATGCCATTTCCCATTCTGATCAAACAGGCCAGTCAGTCTGGCTGTGCAGATCCAGGCACAGTACATCCAGACACTGAAGTCAGTGCTTTTATCTGTACATTAAAATCAGTGTATCTATCAGTGCACACCTTTTTCTTGCCCTGCATCCTCAGTCTTTTTATCCCCTTCCTTTTCTGTATAACATTCTGCCTTCCTGTGTGCACCAGCAGCTTATTTGGCTTTCCAGTAATCAAGTCCCGTCATTCAAGAACAAGGGAATCATCTGACCAAGTGCAGGTCAACAACAGGAAAACCCAATACCGAAAGATCAAAGTCCTGTACCACTGAGAAGCAAACAGGTACATGTATTGCAGGGTATTTCGTGATAAGTGTTGTTTAATTTAGTAAATACTTCTTTATCAGACTGTTCTTACACACTACTGCTTTGCCATAACAAATGATGGTAAGGATTCAGAAGACCAGCTAGTGCACCAGACCCATTCACATGCAGCACATATAATTTTTCAATTTTAAACAGCAAATATTTGAGTTACTGTGAATAGCAACACAAATTATAAAAGATACATAGAACAAAAAAAAATCCATTAACTGTAAGTAATGAAAAATTACTTGAATTATCTGAGCAGTGTCCAAATCACCATTGTGATATTCAACTTCATAAAATAAACAATTTTCTGTGAAGGTGTCTGATTCACTCCACTCTACATATATTTCATCATTAGTCTTTGACAGCGTAAGTCTTCTTGGTGTAGCAGGCCTTACTGAAATGCAAAATGGAAGAATTAGTTTAAAGTTATATCTCACTGGTTACAAAAGCAGTTGCAAGTCTTGTACTGTATAACTTTACACTTGTAACAGTTTAGGAACAGAAAGAGGAAAAAGCACCAAAAACTAAAGAAAGAATAAAAACAACCAGAGAGGGAGAGTAAGATTGAGTGGGAAATGATAAACAAACAAACCCCAAACATCCAACCCTCAAAAAGCAAACCCCGTCTATGTAATTCCTAAATCAAAGATCAATAAGAGAGCATCAAATCATATCGTGTCATCCACAGCTTATAAGCTGCAAACTTCTCAAACACAGTGACACATTAGCAAACTTCTTTCTTTATATTTTTTGTAACGTGGTGTTAAACTTACCAAGGGTGGTAGGATTTTTACTTGCACACGTAGGCCTAATGTCTTCAGAATCATCTTTAACCAAAATACTTATAGTTGGGTAAGTATTGGTGACCTTGGGGAAGGTAAGACTGAAAATGCATCTTCTGTGGTCCATAGAATAGTTGTTGCACTTCTCAGGGTTTTTCAAACCGTCAAACCTATAGGAAATAAATATTATTTTTTTTTTACACTTCAAAAGAATAGGACAGCAAGAGGCAAATTTGTTTTGATTACAAATTCTAAAGACTGATCTTGCATTAAAATGGTGCTATAGCACATGTAAAAGTTAAGCTAAGCAAAGTAAGAAGCTTCTCATTTATCTCAAGCTTTAGAAAGAACATTATTTTTGTAGCAGAAAGAGAGGCAAGTTTGCTTTATACCCAGGCATCAAAGATAACAGCTGCTTTCAGCTTTGGTTCACATTTTCCACATGGAAAAAACAATTTCAAGGAAAAAAAAAAAGAAAGTATTTAGTAAGCAAACTAATTCGGACCACTTCCTGTCAGCAGAATTTCAATCCTGTGACAGAATGAGAGGATCAGTCTCCTTCAGCAACGCCTCGGGTACCGCAGCTCTTGCTTGAGATGGTCCAGTTTTACCTATTGCCTGTTACTTGCCATAACAGAGAAGCTATAACAACCTTCTCCTTGCTCCTCGCTGTTCCCCAAGTTCCAGTGAAAACATGCCAGCAGCTTTTCCTCCATAGAAAATTGGGAAATTGATTTTTTTTTTTTTTTTTTTTTTAACTATATGGAGCAAATCAGAGCTTCATTTAGGAGCACAAGAAGAATGACACTCCCCTGTTTCACACCTCCCTGGGCAGGGGCTGGAGAAACTAAAACCATCTGTTTTCATGCCCAGACCCCTTTTCTTATCCCTCCTTCTCCCCTCCACACCCTGATGGGGCTGATGAAGAGGGGGGTGTCCAGAGCAGACAGCATCATGCCAATACATCAACCTGCTCTGGTGTGCCTGGCATTCTGCAAGTATTACTGTGAGCTGATGGGATCCATTTGTTCTAAGCTAATGTCATATTCATGTTCACTTTGGATGAAAAGAGAGGGTTTTTTTTAGAGGAAACTATCAATGAAGAAGAATATAAAACGGAACCATAATTTTTCCGGTAGTTGTCCATTCATTCCTGAAAACAAAACAAAACAAAAACCCCCATTCACCAGCATTATGGAAAATGTAACTTTCGGTCCGAAAGTCAAGTGTTTCCTTAGTTTTCAGCTTTAAAACTAAAAAAAAAAGTCTTTTTCTTTCTAAGCAGCATGAACCAAAACACTTTGCTGTCACCACACATGATTTTTTCACTAAAGGGTAAACTGAAAATACACAGCTCTAATTTAAAGCATTGTTCCAGAAATTCAGATCTTCACTGTCTCATTGGTACTATTCTTGTAATAAAAAATAAAATAAAATAAAATATTTGAGTAGCAATTTAGAGAGAGAACAGTCGTCCCTGCACTTAACTAAAGCAGCCAGTTTCCTGCTGTTTGCTGTCCAAAGGCATTAAATCAGTTTGCCTGCGAGACTGCAACTGGAGACGAAGAGGAAAACGTTTATTTAGTCAGTTCAGATAAGACAGAAAGCTGATTTAAAGCTACAACAAGGGGCTTTCAGAAAGAAAACGTCAATATTTCTGCAGAAGCTAACGCAATCTGGCATTTCACAAGCCCCATCGACACGCAGAAGTATGCATAGTTTGGCGTGTGCGGATCCTGCTGCCAAGTGTTTGCTCACACCACAACTCTGCTCCTTTGGAACAAGAGTCTATTTATGGCAGGCAGCTGGCAAGTGGGGATGATGATAAAAAGATATTCTCCGCAACCTTCAAGGTGAATCAGTTATTTATTACATCGAAGATATAAAAAAACCCCTACTGCTAAATGTTATTAATGCTTTCATACCGTTTCCCAATGATTTAAGAGCTGACCCCTGCATTAGTGAGTGATTCCAACTTAAACAGCCTATGTTTGTTGGGCTCCAAAGAATGCAAATACCATATTGGTCTAGCTCAGGTCTTAATTCTTCCCTCTTTGAATCCACAATTAGAAAAAATTAGAAAAGCAGTAGTGGTTGTTTTAAAACGGGCTACAGAAGTAGTCAGTATTTCACATAAAGGTTCCATCAACTTCCCCAAAAAGACGGAGCAACAGCAACCTTTTGACACTTCAGCAGTGAAGTTTTCTGTTGGACAGGACCCAACACTTACTTGGTTGCAATGCCCCGAGACATTCAGAGCAACAGAAAGAGCAGACAATCAAAAGGCGTCACGTAAAGCTGAAGATTAGCGCTCAATCACTGTAGAGTTGGGAATAAAAAGTTCATACAAACCAGTAGAACAAGGTGTAATTGGTATCACTGCTTGCGTTCTCCCCGGGACGCCACGAACAATCCATGTACTCCAAATTGTGCCAAACACATTTCAAACCAACAGCAGCAGTACCTGGAATACCTGCAAGGCAAGTTGGAAAGGTCTCTTAAGATTTATTTCGCCAGCAAAGTCTTCTCCCCAAATTCCAGAAGCAAAACATCCCTTTTTACATAACTGTCTGGAAGGCAAAGATGGGTTACCTCAGCCCTCGCTGCCTGTCTCAGCACCACAAATGATGAATTCCAGTTGTTTATCACTCGCAGCAGCTGAAATCTCAGAGTAACTTCTAAATACAAGCCACTCGTAACAGTGAATCTCATTTTCCACCACGTCTGCCTTACTACTTGGAGTTACCCGATGCTAAATTCAAGGTGCTGAGACAGGAAAATATCTTGTTCTACTCAACTACAGATAGTTTAAAAAGGATTTAAAGTAACTAGCAATTATATGGATAGCACTTAGCTTTGTTATAATTGTTAGTCATCCACGTTAAAAACAGTGAGCATTTGTTATCTTCTCGAGATGCAACATTAGTTTCTCAATATTCTGAATATGGAAATACCTGTAGGCCTTAAATATGGACAAAAGCAACACTGGTTGCATTTTTTATTGACACTCATGTACGTCTAGACAGTCAACTTCTTCAACATATTGAAAACCCAAATTACACAATGTAATGAGTTCTGTAAATGAGTACACAGCAATTGTGAATAGAGACATCAACGTATCTCCCAAGCGGAGCAGTGACAGAATAAAGCCTTTCAAATTCAATCTTGCCTTTTTGTATGGTACAAGTTCTTTATACTGTATTATCATACTACAGCATATTAGATATTTTTTCCCTGTAACAAGCAGCAACATCTCCACAAACTGAAAATAAAATGCGTGTTCATTTTATCAACAATCCAGATTTTTATTGATAGCAAACCCCAAACTACCTTCTCCTTCTGAGGCTGAATTCCTCCTGAAGTAGGAACTGTCAAAGAGTACAGGGAAATGAAACTGGTTTTCCTATTGCAGGAAGTATTTGAAAATATTTTACCTGCAAGCAGACCTCTAAAAGCCCCAGCCTGTTTAGCACATGCTATCCTAATGATCTCCTTCCCTAATTTTCAGGAATACCCTTCTGACAGACACACAGACAAGCCTGGGTAAGGTCTCAGATTCTGGTCCACATGCCGTTTTCATCCACATTGAGTCATGCTCCTGGGTTAGACAGACTTTTACTACTCAAGGCAAGAGGTGCAAGTTCTTTGCTGTACCTCCTAGCTCCCAGCATCCAGCAGAATAATATGAATGCTTCCTAATAATTTTGCTATGGATCCCTTATTTCTGGATGTCAAGAAACAAAAAAAATATTTTTTTCCTCCATTTATTTTGCTGTGCACAGCTTTGTAGACCCCAGACACCTCTTCTGGAAAGGAGGGAGCCCTACCATAGTCATTTAAGTCACTTATGAATTCAACAAATCGTTAGATATGCTAGATTCATCCCTCTAACATTTACAAACATAGGGCTATTTTAAGGACTTCTGCTCATACAGAAAAAAAACATACAAAATAAACTGACTTGGACGTTAGTCATGGAGTCAGAAGGCTTACTACAACCCAAGTTATGTCTTATCTCACAGCGTGGCAGGGGCAAGAAAAATAACAGGAATCACATTGTCGTCTTGGAAGAGCACTTAAACTTTATGAGCTTGCCCATAAGGTTTTAGGCGTTGGAAGAATTTGGTTGTGTTTACCCGTAGCACAATCGCTCTGTCTAAACTCCACCCATCGAACTAGCCCTCACCTCTGGTATCTCTCCTGATTTCTCTACGGTATTTGGTTAGAACAGGACAGAAAGCAAGGCCTGGTTCTCTGGGTGCTGAGGTGGAGATGTGCCCCGGGTCCGGCCGCTCCAGGGGTTACCTGTTGGCAGGAAGGAGGTCTCCACCCATCGGCTGGGCTCGCTGGCGTTGCCGCTCTTGCATTCGCTTCTCACTTTGAACCGCATTTCCTCATTCAGGAACATCTCCGTCACACGGAAGCGACTCTTGCTCCATTCCTGGGTTTAGGTGGAGGGGGAAGAAAACCAGAACGTTTGGCACGCCGCACCGAACACATGGGAATTACTATTAATCACAGAATCTTCATGGTTGGAAGGGACCTTTGAGATCATCCAGTCCAACCACAAAAATAATAAAAAAAAAAAAGAACAACAAACAAAACCAAACCCCACAAACAGACACAACCCAACAATCTCGGGCACTAGAGCACGCCCTGAAGTGCCATGTCCACACAGTTCTTAAACACCTCCAGGGATGGTGACTCCACCACCTCCCTGGGCAGGCTGTTCCAGTGCCTGACCACCCTCTCAGCAAAGTCATTCTTCCCAAGATCTAATCGAAACCTCCCCTGCCCCAACTTCAGACCATTTCCTCTGCTCCTGCCATGATTCCCTTGGGAGAAGAGGCCAACCCCCACCTCTCTCCACCCTCCTTTCAGGGAGCTGGAGAGGGCAATGAAGTCTCCCCTCAGCCTCCTCTTCTCCAAACTCAACATGCCCAGTTCCCTCAGCCTCTCCTCGTAGGACTTGTTCTCCAGACCCCTCCCCAGCTTGGTGGCTCTCCTCTGGACACGCTCCAGCACCTCCATGTCCTTCTTGGAGTGAGGGGCCCAGAACTGAACCCAGCCCTGGAGGTGAGGCCTCACCAGTGCCCAGTCCAGAGGCACCATCACTGCCCTGCTCCTGCTGGCCACGCTGCTCCTGACACAGGCCAGGATGCTGTTGGCCTTCTTGGATGTAAGAATACATTAAGGCCCCTAAAAACCACTGAAACCCGAAGCCAAATGAAATGAGTGTCTGGCAACACAGGAAGCCTCAGCATCACGTAGCTTTTCTTTCTCCTCACCAGGTGCCCCCAGAACCCACCACCGGAAAACTGGTTCCACTCCAGTGACCCCCAGACATGAGCAATGGCCACACAGAGATCAAGGAACAACTATAACGTGGGGGAGAACAGTCCTATGGTAAGTCCTCAGCTATATAAACAGGAGTTTAAAGATGTAATCCTCACCTTTCTCTGTGTGTGTGCACACGAGCGTGTGACAAACAGAAGAAAGAACATTTCAAGATGTAACCAAAAAGCAGCGAGAAGAGTTTGCATGGATTTAAGGAGCAAAGGAAAAAAAAAAAATCAAAACAAATCCACAAGTGTTTATTAAAAACAATGACACCACATCAGGCCTAAGCAGTCCATGAGCTTCCAGTTTCAGAAGAGAAGACATGTTTGCGTGAGAAAAAGGCTTTTCTCATATGCTTTTTTGAGCATCTTTTATTGGGCTAGGGGGGTGCCTTTTACTCAACTGGAAACAAGACCAAAAAGAATAAAAGTCTTTGTTATGACCAAAGAAGGGCAAGGAAATCAAATAGCAATGAACAGATTGTGTTCCCCAGCTGTAATGCAAAAAGCTGCAGCACGATGCTATGCAGTCTGGTTCATCTCTCACACAAAACTGCTGTCCCACGGCTCTTCCACTGCTGCTGGCCTTCAGGTCTGTTAGACCCTTCCACAGACTCCTTCAGCTTGTTAACCACATGGCCTTTCGACTTGTTAATTTATTAATGAACCCATCAGAAGGGGTAAATAGGTTTCTGCTGAGTTAGCAAATTTGACTGGCTCATCTAAAAGGTCCGATGAAGGACATTAGAGAAAGGGGTGTCAAAAATGAGACATCAGCCTTTTAGCAGTGTTGAGCCATTAAATCTGCAGCCCTTACCTCAAACCCAGGATATCCTAGAGCTGTCAGAAAGACTATGGCAGCCACCGGACATAAAACTGACAGGGCTCAACAGCCAAAAGCTGCTTCAAGAGGCTTTGTGTCCATTTTAACCGTGCCCAAACCAGCAGCACTGCCAACCCCACAGTTGGTGGGTACTCAAGGCTTCAAATTCTGACCGTTTGGAATTATGGACTGATAGTGTATCACCTTCCTGGCAATAAACTGTAAAATTATTTGTCCTACAGTCCCTTTGGTATCATGGCAATGCCGCCCTCAGTCCTGACCAAACAGTTCTTAATCCACAGCAAGGGACACATCTGGGCTGCCAACCATCTCACACAGGGATAAAAACAAAACCCCCAAACAAGGAGGTTTTACAATTGCTGTTCCGGGGAACAAATGTGTTCCACGTTGGCTTCATAACACAACCCCCCCACGAATAACCGTTAAGCACAGGGACAGGGTAAGTGTGGGGATATGTTAAGACCTGGGTTTACCTCCAAAAGACACTGTGCTGCCAAATCACAGCTACACCCAGGTCAGCGTGCAGCTCAACGTGAAGGAGATCAGCCTTTGCAAATTCACATGGAAGTCTTAGGGATGTAGACTGCCCTGCGTATATTTTATTTTTTTCCTAGAAACGCCGTGTAAGCAAGGACCGAAACAAGTCTTTTTCACATGATTATTGTTACGGTGCTTCCGTGTTATCAGTAGCAGCTCAGTTATCAGAGAGCGACAGACAGATTTCTCTGATCTGAAGATCCCACACGCTGGTATGACTCATTTTTGGGGCTTTGATCCCATGACAAGAATCAAAGGCTATATTAAAATGATATTTATATACATTTCTATACACATATATGCTTACACAGGGACAGTTTTATTGTAATAAGCCCTTTACTGGAGCATAGCAGTGTTTAAAGAGGCGATGTGCTTACTCTTTTTTGCAGAGGGACCTCATCAATCACGATGTCGCTGGAATATTCCAGGTCACAGCTACTGCTGACGTTCTCTGGGGGGTTCCACGTCCAGTTCAGGGTGCAGATTTGGATAAATGAGTATTTCAGGTTTGACGGAGGTGGAAGAACGTGTGCTCCTAAGAGAAAGAACCGTCACTGTAACAATCCTGTTGGTCCACATTTTACCGTTAGTAGAACTGACAGATTTTTAACTCTCCAACAGAAAAGAACCCAAACGACTTCTCCACTTCATCAGCTCACATTTGCTATCTGCTACTACCCACTAAATTGTTTCTCCTATTCCTGTTACCTTAGTCCATCAGTCATTTCATTAATATATCACTGAGAAGTAATTTTTTAAGAAATCGCAGCATGCAGCAACGCAGTGGCTGTGGTAACGAAACTCATGCTTGTGGCAGGAAGACGAGTCTCGTTTTTCAGGTCTTTTTTTGCTGCAAGTTTGCATCACGCGTGCCGAATCTTTAGTAAAAACAGTATATACATTTTTGTGGGGCAAGGAATACTTTATTCTATCCCTCAAAACATCCATCAACGCAGCTTTAGAGAGAAAACGCTAAAATGACAAGCAATTACACGTTACAAGTGACAGCTGTATGTTACAACCACAACTCAGCCCAATCCAAGCCAAATCAAAAAAGGTTAAAAACAACAAAGAAACCACAATGCTTTTCCAATTACTCACCTATTAAACTCGTAATGCTGTGCTCTGGCACAGCGAGCAAAACCAGCGAGGGACAAATAGCGATTTGCCACTGGCACATTTCAGCCCTACGTTTTTTTTCACCTCCCCAAAAAGCAAGATAGAAGCCGAGAAAGAGCCGTGACTCAGGCAGTTGCTGGGATAATGGATAAATCCGTTTGCACGTTGACCTTTCCTTACTCCTGTGCACCCAGCCACAGCCCATTCCATGCCCAGGGACACAGCTTGGAGTAACAGCAAACAAAGAAGGGAAATAGGGCAGAAAGCAGCAAACAGCCAGGAAAAATTAATGTCTGTGTCTGACTCCAACTCGAGGAAAAAATGACCAGCTGGTAATTCCCTAAGAAAATTAAAAAAAAAAAAAAAAAAAATTAAAGGGCTGCTCTTCTGTGCGCTATTAGAAGAGGAGACTGCTCCTCAAGGGTTATCTACAGGTATCATCAACTGAGGCACCGTCACCTATTTGGCTGTGGAAAGAAGGTGCCCTGCTTACGCAGGAGTTTCACAAACACTTCAAAGTGCTGTCAGCCAGAGCTGCAGGTCTTGCTCAGCCCAGGAAACCTGCTCGGCCCAGGAAACCAGGCTCAACCTGCCCCAACGTTTTAGGGGAGAATACTCCACCCAGATGAGTTTTCCCATCCCCGTCACGGCGCGGCCCCGTTTTCCTTCTGCTGGCACGGGGAAAAGGGTGGATGGAAAGGCACACGAGGTTATTGCTGCAAGAATTCTACTCAAAGCACCCATGGCACCATTTATCGTACATCTCCCCACAGCCAGAGCTGCCAAAGCTTGAAGAAAATTCATCCAACTCCTCAGGGATTTCTCAGATTTGCGCAGTTAAAGGACAGGCAGTGGTAGATATATCAGAGATTATCGCCATCCGTGTGTGAATAACGTGTGCTCACACAGAAAATGAGAGTAACTACCAGGATCTGCAGCTTTAGTCGGAATACACTTGGCTTTTTTGGAATATTTGAAATTTGGGGGATTTTCGTTTGTTTGTTTGCCCAGTTTTACAGGCGACCTCGGGAGCAGACAAGAGAAATTTTTGTTTTTACAGAAACACTGTCTCCTCTGAGAAAACTGACCCTAGCCACAACATCTCTGCCTCCTGCCTGTTCCACTACCAAAAATTTATGACAGATTTCGGGAACAGCACTGGAGCCTTAAGCTTGCAAATACTGAGTCCTTTAGATCACAGACACACACACAAAAAAAAATTAAAAAATTATTCAACAACCCTAGAGAGCTCCAAGCATTCTGTCTTTTCCCAATCAAACTTTTTATTACCTACAAAAGCCACAAACCATTAAAAAAACCCATTAGCGTCACCCCTGATTGCCACTCTGAAGTTCTGCACATTTCCTTTTAATAGGTTTAATTAGGAGTAATTGTGCTTAAGCTTGCAGATTTCTAATGGCACAAAGAAAGCGGGAGTATTCAAGGTTTATAAATAAAGCAATAAATTAGCATCAAAAGTTTAAGCTTGGTAGGTTAATCTATACAATTCTGAAGTTTGTGCTGGAATTTTACATCGGATTCTACGCTTCAGCTGAAGATTTGCTTTTATTCACAGGCTTGGCCGGTCTCATCCTTTCGTTGTATAAAATACACAAACAAAATCTAATAAAACCTCACGGCTACAATAATTTAGCAGGACAACTCAAAGGCCAACTACGTAACGGCGGAGCCGGAGCGCAGCAGTGCCCGGCAGAGATTGATTAGCTGAGGCAACCCTGGGGAGAAAACATTTGATTTCTAGGAGCCGTGAGGGCGGAAACATCACCCACCGCTTCGCACCAAAGCGTTACATCCTAAAAGGCTTTTCTGCATTTTCTTCACGTTGGTTTCACAGCACTCGTGGCCAGTCGAAAAATGACTATTTTCTGACGGTCGCAACCCTATTTGTGCAAAGCCCGAAGTAATAAAGCTTTGGAGTCCCCTGTTCTTATGAACCCCACTGCTTCCTCCCCCCCCCAAAATTTCCTCCCATTAACTGTTCGTGCTCCCAAAAGCAGGGAAAGTAAAAGTGAAGGCCAAGGGGACAGGGGGTCGCACGGGAGGTGATGGGGAGGCATATGGGGACGGAGGAGGGGGCACAGAGGGACAGAAGG